GACAACTGAGTGCTCAGCAACTATTTTTGTTCCGTTTGGAAAGAATGAAAAATCATGCATTTAAATTAGATGCTTCAATTATGTTAATATCTGGAAAGAAGTCTTTAAAAAATCAGCAGATCCAGAATTAGTACAAAATAGTCTTAAACAAAGAGTGGCTCCCCTGGGGCTCATCATGTGCTATGGAACAGGTCATGGCACAAATCCTGTGGCTCTGACAGGACTGGCCAACAGGCTGGGCTTATCACCCTTCAAATAAGCATGGTTAGCTTTAACAGCTCTAGAGACAGGAGCATTCACCTGACATCTGGTTCCACTAGTCTTCCACGAGTCCTGAGCAGTCTTCACAGATTTCCTGTATTTTCTCCACCACTGTATTCACAAAATTATCCTTTCTTGTAAGTACTTTCCCCATCAAATTCAGAATCATCCTCTGGACTCACTCCAACAATCCTCATTCATTTTCTGAATGTTGAGCAAAATAAACCAATTCAATTCAGTTCAATTAATTATCTTGCTTTTTGATAAACTTCTATCACAATGTTTTGCATGTTGGCATGTTTATTTGTCAGAAAGAAAATTCCATTGTAATCTGTTGATAACTGGCATTAAGGAAATAAGGTAACAATGTCCTCGATGCTGCATTTGCCACTTGAAAACGGCACTGTTTCCAAGAAGAAAAGTTGTCAGGTTAAACTGTGTGGGGTTTTTTTATTCAAAAAGATTTTAACTGAATGTGGAGATCATTGGTCCTCCAAAAGCAATGGTGTGCAAGCAGAATGTCCTGTAAATTACAGTGAGGCAAAGCACTCAGCATTCCCTTCTTCCCATTTCTTTCCCTCTCCCCACTGCCTGCCCACACTGACACATGAAATAGAACGCCCCGTTCTTCTCACTGCAAATTAACACAGCCTGCTCCTTTATAACCAGCTGTCAGAATCTGTCACCAATTCATTTTTTTGCCTTTACAGCTTCAAAGGTAAAGGTAGGAATTAGGGATGATTTCTTCTACTAGGACTCCAGCAAAAGTTTTTGTCTGGCAAGAAACAATTTGCAGGTTTCCTTCTCTGCAGGTGAAAGAGATCAATACTGTAAGGTTAGCTGTAAGCATCCATATTTGCTGCAGGAGCATCTTAAGACTATCAAGATTGAAAGCCAATGCCAAACTTTTATTCATTTTTGTAATTCAGATGCATATTAAGATTCAAAGCCTGTCCTCACTTTGGTCCTGAAGTAGATCTCAAGTCTTCCTTTTAATTTGATAGCACTAAAAAATTGAACTGACCTGCCACAGCTGCATGCCAATGGGACTGACATGGTGATACATACTAAGTAGAACTAGAACTGTATGAACACTTGAACTTAAATGCAGCAGGGACACAGCACCTTGAGCTCTAATTTGTAGCATCCCTCTGCAGTGAGCACATCACCGGAGTGGGATCCTGTTCCCTCAAGCAGGCGTAGCTTCAAGAGTAACTGTCATGAACAGCAGAGTATCTGTTTAAAGGATGGGAACTCACTAAGGAGACACCTGAGGAAAGCTTTGAGGTATTTGCTGTTTTTGTGAATTGAGTTTCTCTTCTCCATGTACATTACTTTTATAGGAAGAAAAGCATATATAGTGTTACTACCGAGTGAGCTTCTGCAGACCATACAATGATACCTCTGTAAGCAGTCACCTCAAGTAACTCAGGAACAAACTACAAGCATTGTCCCCTCTCTGCAGCATCATCTTTAGATTTTCCCCTTTCTCCTAACTTCCCTAAACTCCAAAGACTTTACACTTGAAAGCTTTTTTAGCATAGCTGAATGTCACACAAAATCATGCCCATAACTTAGATAAAATGTACTTGGCTAGACATAGTTTTATCAGCAAATATCATTAATATATATGCATATTTTGAAATGGCTACATTTCCAAACAGATTTATTTTGGTTATTCACAAGGCCTAATCCTAAATTCTTCTAACTTTTTCCTGCTTATGAAAACAGACCTTTGATCATAATCGTACCAAGACAACTACAAAATAAAATACAATATCATACTGCATTCAAAAATTTAACAAAATTTAACAAAATAAAAAAACAACTAGGGAAAATCAGATGAACTTAAATGAGACCAATTTTACGATTTGATGTTGGATTTCTTGACAAGTATCTTTGTATTAAGAAAGCAAGAAGTTTGCAATCAGTTTGCAGTTTCATCTGTTAGGTTTTTTGGCAGTTCCTGAAGCAATTAAAGTTCTGTTTTTCTTTCCTTTATTATTGGCATTTCAAAGAAGTTAGCAGACTTCTGCATGACTCTTGTAAATACAGTTAGATTGGTTGCCAATTTTTAAAAGCAATTTTACATGTGAATAATATGGATTCCTTTCTACCACTGAATAAAGTACTAGTCAGACCAGCCCACAATATCTCTACCCAAACACTTGTAATTGTTTCCCAGCCAGTTACTGTCTTCCATTTCTATCACACAGAACACGAAGGTTGTCAAAATACATGTTTTCTTGAAATTTACATTACTGCAGGTCTCTTGCATTTCTCCATTATGCAGTTTCTGGGCACAACAAACAAGAGACTGTTTCAGCTGGTCTATGTAATTGAAAGCATCACTATTTTCTACTGCAGACTACAGGAAAGGTGCTCTGAACATTCAGAATCTATTTAATACATTATATATAAAAATGTGTGATGGCAGGCGAGAGCGAATGAACAGCTCTGCATTTCTTCTACTTTTAGAGAATCCAGGGCCTTGTGGACCAAAGGACCAAACTGAGAAGTGTTTCTCACTGGCAAACAAAGATCAAAGCACTTTTATCTCTTCACAGCTGAAATACCCATGTTATATTCTGCTCTCTCAATCCAGAATATTCAGTCAACTATCTCAGCTGAAGGAAGGCAATATTATGTTTTCCCATGTAAAAACTGGATTTTGAAAAAGACTGTCACTTATGGGGGAAGGAATAAAAACCACTAATTTAGTAAAAACACCTGGAATGATACCTGAGACTTAACAAATAATTTCAAAATGATGAATTAAATGTTATAAAGCTACACACATGCATACTCGGGGACCTGCAGAGGTAGAAATATGTTTATGTTGGACAACTGGCAAGAAAGCTTGCAATTCATTATCAGTGAATAATACATGCACATGGAGATAGGCAGGGGAAAAATTACCCCTGAAAATACCTGCCCAGAAGCTTCTCATCTCTGACTTCCTATAACCTTCTCCCTCTTCTGTGGCTGCCTTATCTAGTCCTCCAAATCTGTGTGAACCCAGAACCCATTTTTAAAATACAAGTTCTCTTCATCAAGGCCTATTACTTTAAATGGAGATCTAGGCATGCAATACAGCATGTACCTACATGCATGCAGACAACACATGCACAAATTATAGGATGCTTGTGCAACATTTCATTATAACCAATAAACACATTTTCTGCTGAGAATTAATCTGTTCTCAGATGACTGAGAAGGGATACATCTGTGTAGGAATTGTTATTTTGTTCAGAAAAGCAGCCATGGAAAAGGGCTGAGAAAATACACCCATCAACAGAGCCAATTTGAAGCCTCGACCCATTCTGTGACACAATACATGGTCCCCCTCAACCTCAGCTGCTTAGTGAAGTACTTAATAGGGTTGTTTTTCATAGCAGTAAACGATATATATGCCAAATGCACTGATTCTTTCCCTTAAAGTACAGAAATTTCACTAAGTCAGAGGAAATGTATGTTATGTTCTTTTCTTTGTACTTCTCTAAATCCTTTAGCAGAATTACCTGCTAATACTAGTATTTGTGTTTCTAAAAGTATTACAAAGAAATGGCTTTACCAGATGCTGAGTACTTTGAAGATTAGATTAAAATCCACACTAACTGAAATCTCTACTCATAAGAAACTTGACTTTTCACACTAATCTGCCTACAACATCACTGACAGCTCTGTATTTCTGACAGCAGACAGATATCGTTACTAGACATTAAAGCTAACTGAGGCATAGCAGCACTGTGAAGAAAACTTAATCCAAGCACACACACAAGTCACAGTGTAACATCCCTTCACCAAGACAATAAAAAGTATTTATAGTACTAACGAAGATTAACTTGTACACTTCAAATTTGAAACAGTGGTCTGAGTATGAAAAACATGGCCCACGGTCTTTATATGACCTTGAATTCCAGGCTGGTCAACAGATTAAAACACTGTTCTGCCAAGAGTAAATACTCTCCTGCAGGGACATCAGAACAAGAAGTAAAATTATTCTTGAGCTGCCTAGTTTGCAACTCAAGTTTCAATGTATCAATGTGTATGTACATCAACAGTTGCTTATGTCAAGATGCTAATCTAAAAATTCAGACAGCTTAGTGTCATATCCACTTCCTCAAGAGCTGTTACCTGGAGGCAGCAAGCAGTCATAAACTTTTCAGCTACCCTGGGTAACAGGTGCAAAGCAAATACAAGCTGACACCTAAATGCACTTAGCCCTGCCCAAAAGAAATACCCTGGGTTTAAATTTTTATTAAACAACTACTGTGAGAGCACAAAGAGGACACAGAAATATTCAGCTATAAAATTTGTCTTTGATACAATTGATGTATTCTAATAACTTTAGTCTCACAACAGTCTCTCAAAACCTGTGTAGAAAAAGAGATTGACAATACAGCCATTATCTCTAGCATTTAGTATCTTGTGCAAGCATTCTTGTTTCATCAATTTGTCAAGAAACAGTTTAAATTTTCCAACTGAGAAGCAGTATTTCCTAACATCCCGTGTTCCTAACATTTAAGTTCTTTCAGCTGGGTCACAATATTCCAAATCCACCTGGTATCCAAAAGTTTCTTACACTTACATGAAATCAGACTGAAATTGCTTTTTGATGTCCTCATCCTGAAGACAAGTTCCACGAACTCCTCAAAGTGCAAACTTCATAAGCAACCTGTTCTCCAATCTCCCAATTCACTTATACTGTCTGCATAACAAGTATTAATGGTGGATTGTTTGTATTTACAGCAAGTTTATTTGGGAGAGGAAAAGTATTCTTTTACAAATGAGCCATGTTCACTATTGAGATTACTTCCAAAGAGAGCATTCAGAAAGCAAACCTGAATATATTACACTGACAATTATTTTTCAATACTTTAACATAGGCCACTTAAAATTGGTTGTTATTAGCACATAGACTGATCTTTAAATATACTACTTCTACATAAACAGTGCAAATCTCAATATTCACATCAACCTGAAATTAATGCTGCAATTACTGTTGACATTCACATCAAGAAAGTAGTAAACTATTTCACATGAGCAATTCCAAAACCTCAGAATGCCATTATTAATATTAAAGAAACACAGAACAAACATGTTGGGCTTCAAAGCCTTGTTTTGATACACACAATCCCTGTAAACATGGATTTATTGTATTTGTCAATACTGATATCTGATATAATTCTATAAATAAAACCACTGATATAAACAATTTCTATAACCTTTTTTTTTTTTTTTTTTTGCATAGGGTTTGGATTAAGGTTACTTTAGGATAGAGACAGCTGTTAACAAAATCCTCTAATCAATTAGTCTTCCATCACACAAATTTAGGCATATGACAAGGAGCCTCTCTGACTTCAGTGGAAACTTACACATGTAAGCATTTGCAAAACTGGAGTCATTTTTAGCACTTAAATTACCCCTAGTCATTGAGAATACAAGCTATAAAAGAGCTCTCCATAAATTTATAAAATATACTGATTTAAAAGTTTATGCTGATGTTTCTCTAAGTCACATTTATGATTCCAAACAGTTATGTACATACTATACTATCACAGTAGGAAATACTTCACTGTAGAACACCACAGTGAACAAGTCGTGAAGCACAGTGTTCAATATCATTTCCCTTTAGTATTCCCAGTGCATAAGTTGTTAACATCTACACTACACAAGGTGCCCAGGTCTAGTATTTGTTATATACAATGTAAAAGCAAGATAGAAAGAACTTTGCATTTTACAGTAAGGAATGAAAACAGTGGGTAATATACAGGGATTCACTCCTGCAAAGTACAGAATTCTCCTTCACTAAGACCACAACCACCAAATACGGTGGATTTCAGGTAGGTCATTCAGCCCAGTAAAACAGTGCTCAGCACCTTGTAGGAAGAGAGATCTGAGTGCACTTTATTCTAAAACATCTCCTTTGGATGTTATAAAGTGCAAAAAATAAAACATATATTCTAATATTTTACAGTCACTATTAGACTGCCATATTTGCACAATTCAAATAACTTGGTATGCATTTTTATGGACCCTATAATAACAAATGTTGAAACTGGAGTTTTCTCATCTTTAAAAAAATCTTAGTATTTTATAATTATTGTGTTACTATAAAAAGAAAATATAAATTATAATTAAATCTTGAAATAGGTATTTTTAACATGTGGCCATTTTCCAAAGCATCAAATATGAAAATTAATTTTCTCTTATAGCATTACATTTTAGAATCTGTAAAATCTTTTAGAAGTTAATAACTTCAAAAAATAAAAATTATTGTATCACAGTATTAGACATCTCAGCTTATCAGATATCTTTTACCCTAGAAGTGTTTAAAAAAAATAAATAAATTTTTAAAAAATCTAAGACTTCTATTCTCAGTTGTTTAGAACAAGATACGTGGAGTTATTTTTTAAACAAAGTAAGAGTTCCATAGTGCTTCATTTTGATCTTAAAATTCAAATAAATGGGACAGAATATAACCATAAATTTAAAAGGCTTTAGAGTACTATACTGCTTTGGTGCATTGTACCAATGATTGTTTACATGCATGAAGAATCAAATTCTACAATATTCTTCACAGAGCTGGGTAAGAGCAGAAGATCCCGAAGTTCTACATATGTTACAGAGCTTTCCTTTCTTTGAGCAGTGGGGAAGGAAGATTGTGACACTGAGGAACAGTCTTCTTCCAAGCGGTACCATGAGCAGCACAGCTACTTACCTGGAGCTTGGCTGCACACCAGTAATTTAGCCCTCAGAGAATACAATGTTGGTTGTATAACAGTATTATACTATATCCAGTGATACCAAACAGCTACAAGGAAATGTATGGAAATACAGAGCTAAGAAGGTATGACTAAAATACATTTCTAAAGCAACAGAAGTCTTCCTGTAGCAGCCTGTAAGCCACAGGGAGGAAGGGCAGGAGAAGACAATACAGGTACTGCCAAGTCTATAACCACTGAACTCCTCGAGACAGGATATTCTGCTGCTCAGTCGGAGAACTGGAAGATGGTTTCTGGGTTATTGCTGTCTGTAGGGTTTGTGGGTTGCAATGTCTTTGTGGGTGTAGTTTTACCATGAGAATGAGAGGAAGAAGAATGGGAACTTTCACTGGAGCTGCTACGTGTCTCTGTGCTTGTGCTTGTTTTTTTCATTTTCCTTCTTTTTGCAAGAGGTGCCTTGTCCACATTCTGGAGACAAAATCCTTCCCTTTTGTACTTATTAAAGGCCTGTTTCAAAATAAAAGGTAATTCTAAGTTATCCAAGATATTTAACACGTTATCACTTATTGTGAATGGTCTATGGTACTTCACAAGATAAAATGTAATTTCTTGTCTAATTCCTATTGTAGCTGTAACAACGACTCTACCAGCCTTTACAGGTGCATAAGAGCCAATACATACCATTATTGATTGACATCTTCCTCTCCTTTTTAGTTTAGAAGTATTTTTTACTTAGCCTTAACCTATTTAATACTACATTTTCAGAGAGGACACTGCTAAATTACAGCTTTTCTTTCAGCCCAAATTATGTTGCATTGTCAGGATCTCTCCAAGAAACAATTACTTTGTTCTTCTCTCCTTCCTAAAAAGCACCCACAAGCATTTCAGCATAGATCAGCTCAATTTTGATTCTTTCTCTGTAGAGGGTATCATGAGAATCAACACTATGTTTGTAAAATACAGTTGAAGTTCAAATTATTTTAATAAATATACAATAGTAGACAAGCAAGTCCACTAAAAAAGCACCCATGATATAAAACACATGAACTATATATATTCCAGAAATTCTACTTCAGTTTAGTAACCATAAGGACAAAAAGTCAAACAGTTACTTAAGTTAAAGTTTTGGTTTTTTAAAATAAAAGTTTGAAGATCTTTTAATAGATTTCTCTAAGAAATAGAATACTTTTAATTGCTGTTTCCAGAACAGCACTCAATACCCAAATCCTCATGAAAATAAATATCTCCAAGAAATTTATGCTTGCTTCATCATTCATATTTTCATGTACTCCAACAGAGATGTTATGAGAAAATGTTATTGAGGATAAAAATCCAGATATAAGCATATACTAAATTATAAGGACAGATATGGGTAGCTTTTAAGAGAAAACATACACAAATCTAGATGACACATTACAAAACATAGCACATGACAAGAAAATTCTCAGAACTTACATGGAAAGTGGCTTTGACATATGTGTGCACTGCAGCTCCTGAAGAGCCTAAGTTATCAGGTGTCATTAGAGGGTTAGATGAGAGCTGGCTGCCGTCCTGAAGCCACTCGTTGTATCTCAGGCTGGACATTTTAATCCTTTTGTTTGGATCCACTGTGAGAAGTCCTAATAGAAACACATTACATTCTTTAAAACTGTCAGCTATTTATCTTTGGTCAACAGAAAATGCAAATATTTCTTAATAAAATCTCATGCATTGCTTTGATAAGTAACTAATGTCAATATTTATCCTAGGTATGCCAATATTTATCTTAGATAAGGCTCACAGAATGTTATACTATCATCCTCTCCAGAAGAATCTTAAAAGCAAAAAAATTTAACTGTTTGATAACTCACATCTCTCTTCACACAAACTCAGAACTATCAAATTATTTCTTCACTTAAAACCCGTCTAGGATACTAAAGTTCAAAAGAGTAAGCCTCAGATTCCCTGCACAATTCACTCAAGTCTGAATCTGGAACTCAAGTCTGAATCTGGAAATACCTATATTTTTGGCAGAAAAATTCCTTACAAATCTGCTTCTGCAGAAATTCAGAATTCCATCTAAGTAGCACAAAGGTAGGTGTCTAGCTCATGATGAAAACATAATTAGATGCTCAAAAGCTTAAGGGAACCAAAGCACAGCAAGTGTCAATGAAGTAGCTCAGAAATACAGTAAGTAGTCTTTGTACAGGAATTAAAAAATAGCCAATGGAAAAGAAATAGTAATAAATTCATTCTCTACAAAAGCTCATCCTTTAAGGCATTTATCTCATAAGCTGTTTTGGTTTTTTTAGAAAAGCAAAAATAACATAATAGAAAAACTCTGCTTTCAAATATGTTATATGAGTAAGTTCACTTTTTCTGAAGCTTTTCAGTTCCTTTTAACCCCACTAACCTTAACAGCATCTTACCACATTAGAAAATTCTGATAGGTGTACAACCAATTGGTAACTCATTCTGATGTGTCCATAGCTACTCATTGCTTGTATTAGAGGTCAGCACATAGCTCAAGCTGTGCATATTGCTCTGTCAGGTTAGACACTTTGGAGCATCCAGATATTGTATGATTCTCCAAATTCTATATTTTAAAATAAAAACATAATGTATATTAAATACTTATAAATACATACCTCGAATTAGCTCTTTAGCCTCTTCAGAAACATTTTTCCAAGCCTCTCCTTCAAAGGAAAATTCTCCCTTTTTTATTTTCTTCATAATTTCCAATGCACTGGTACATGTTAAACTTCTGTCTTGAGACTGAAATGGTACCTGTCCTGATAGCATCGTGTACTGTCACAAGAACAAAGGCAGCCTTAGGAAACACAGCGTATTTACAGACAACTCTGCTGTTAAATATGAAGGGCTGTTGTTTGCATCACCAATGCTATGCAATAAAACTTGGCCTAACATAACTTTAAGGCTATAGAATATTTATAATACAGAAGACTTTCTCTGGAGTCCTTGTTAGAAAAAACATTCATCTATTCCAGGAAGCTATGAACAAAATTTATTTCTACCCCATTTATGTCTAATGAAACTAATTTTCTGTAGAACAAAATATAGGTTGATTCCCTCTCTGAATTGAAACTGTCAAAAGATTATATGGATGCCTGTAAAATTCCCTAACAAGCATATATCTTTTTGAGAAGTTGACTGTATCAAGTAATTTTTGCATTCCCAAAAATGTTAAATTTTATTTCCTACTTGCTAAAAAAAAATTCTGCTCCTGGAACCTGTATTTGGAACATGTTATTTGTGCAGCAGTATGTACCCAATTTATGTCTGAAATCATCTCAAGTCCCTTGCATTTTAACAAAAAGTAAATACATGCAATAAAATTATAGTTAAAAACCTCAATCACTCACCAAAATGACCCCCAAACTCCACAGATCACAAGACTCATCATAACCATTGTGATTCAAGAGCTCTGGGGCAGCATAATGAAGAGTAAAACACGGAGTCTTAAGAGGCTGATTATCAGGTGGTTTTAAACGAGCAAAGCCAAAATCAATTATTTTTATTTCTGAATTATCAGTTTCATCTGTAAATAGTAAATTCTGAAAAACAAAGACAAAAATCAATATTTGCAGTGGGTACAAAATTGGTTATAATTACTTTGCTACATCTATCACTACAGAAAATTCTCCATTATCTAGAGGAAAGGTGAACTGCAAGACACTGAGGGAAGAGAAAAACAGAAATAACAATACTCTGGGTTGTAAGAAATGTGACATTTTTACCTGCCCCTGCATATCTGCAAGTCAGGACAGTTCTGAGATTACTAATGAAAATGAATACGTGGCACAGAACAGTAAAGAATTCTGGGAACTTTGACAAGAAGAAAACCTAAGACATCAGCATGTTTGGAGATGGCAGAATTGCCTTCTTCCTCAAACAAAATCAAATTTTCTTAAGCTTCCACTTCCTTCTGGCATGGTGTGAACAACAGCTTTCTTGTGTGGGGGATTCCCACTGCTCCTTCTGTCTTGTGACTGAATGGTCTTTGGCTGTTGAGTGGTACCACAGTACTGCCATGAGGACAATAATGCACAAGTCATTTGAAAGCAAAGGATGGTGATAAGAAGGTGCACCTTTGCATGACGTGGTGTTAAGAAGTGCACCAATAGCTCAGAGGTTTCACTGAGAGCTGTCTGGCATGGGTGGCAAAGCCAGCACTGATATGTGCTCTGAAAGAAACGTGGGACCAACAGCATTCAAGCACTGAAGGTCACATAACAGTCCCACCACAAACCTACTCCTTACACCAAGGCAGAGACATTGGTGCAGTAGTCCCTGAGAATTCCAGCTTTACACACTGGAATGTGGCACTTTGGACTTGAAGACAGACAAGTTGTTATCAGTTTGGAAAATATCAGGCAATCTGCTTCTTTTTTCTTCCCTGAGTATTTTTATTTCCAAGAAAGATACAAGAGGAAGGCTTGCCACAGAAAGCTTCTGTGTCACAGAAAAACTGTCTGAGGCCAAGATGAATTGTAAGCTAATTCTACTCTTCCCTTCAGCTTCTGAGAGAAGAGCATCATTTTACTACTGCCTTTACTGCTCAATTTATGAATGCTAGAAAAAAATCTCAATATCAGAAATCCTATAGCTCTATCTAACCTTGTAATACAAAAGGTGAATGACTCACACAAAGTAATTAATTTGAAATTCATTAACAAGGGTAAAAAATGATTGCTAGACTGCCATCAGATCAATAAGGAGAACCTGAGACCATTCATTATGGACAAAAGAAAATAGCTGCTACAAAGCAGTATTTTTGCTTTCTGTACTGCTGATATAGCTTAATGCACATTGAGAGAAGTCAGTTTTTAATTGTTGTGTAAATGGATCTACAGGAAGCCTAATTTCAGCAAAAATATTCATACAAGGATAAGTGATTAATATAATAGTCTTTTGTATGATGATGTTATATACTCCACAAGTAAATAAAGAATGAATAACATTCGTTTAAAAAGACCTTTCTTATGATAAAAATTAAATTGTTTATGCATGGATAGAAAGGTACAGTCCAAGTATCCTCCACCGGGTTCAGGTATTTCTGTTAATGAGGCAAATAAAGCGTGTTTCAGAACTCTCCCATCCCCCAAATATTTACAGCTATATTCCACATATTTTAGGATATATAAACAACATTCTCGCACACTTGTTATGTTTTGTTGTAATACCTTTAGAACCCAGTTCACAGATTAATGATCACAGAAACAGTCCTCAAATCCTCTACTGAGAAGCTCCAAATATGATCACATATGCTTCACAAACTCTTTATTCCTACAAATTCCCTATTTTCTATCCAGTACTTTTCCTCTGTTTTATAGAACAACATATGTGATCTAATTACTACTGATAAACAGAAGTCTTCCAGTCCATGAAATTCAGTCTCACTCTTAGTTACCTTTAACCAGCCAGACTTTTAAAAAAAATTATCAGTAGCACATTCGATTGCAAAGTTGAGCATCAAAAAAAATCTGACTGGAATTCTTAGAAAAGCAACAGAATTTCCTATATATCTTTTTACAGAGAAATGCACTAACCATATCTATATTGGGAACCCTGCATATCCTATACTAAGTTCATGTCAGAACCTAAAATAGTAACTTTCAAAACAAGCAGGAAGGAGACAAGCAGGTTAAGTCCAGCTTTGTGGAGGCAATGGATTCTGCAAGCTGTTTGCTAACCCTTCATTACTTGACTTCCCAGACTTCTGTTCTTGAACATAATGTAGAATTGAAGACTGCCTAATTTACCTTACAGATGAAGCTCTGCTTTACTGTGCCTTTACATTCAAAATGGCAGTAAGACTGAGATGGTAAGAAGAGAGAAAGAGGGGTTGGTTTAATCCTTTTAATAATTACTTGTTTCAAAAATGGTTTTCTTACCCTGATGATGCAACTCTTGGAAAAAGTTTCCCTGATGACTTTTTCAACTCACACACTAGAATTTCAAAATAGTCCCTCTATAACTGTTTACTTACAATAGGAGCCCAGGACAGAGATTCTTTCAAACTCATATTTTGGATTGGTTTTCAAAAACAACTAGCAACACCTAGAAGACTTCTTTACCAGTTGAATTTGAATTACTATAAAATACCAAGTCTTTCATATCACAGAAAGTATGTTACAATAAGATAAAACATCAGTAGGAATGATAGATTATTTTTTAACTCCAGCTACAAAAGGAACAGCTATTTCCTGGGGTATGATGGCTGTCATCACCCTGCAATAAACATCCTCACTGGATGAATCATTAATCTACACCATTTTCAGGCTTGAGAAAATGTACATCCCAACCCATTGCTGGCAAAAGCACCCATGAAAAAACTGGCTCTAGGAAGCAGAACAAAGCCAGTGGTCAATCTTATAATAGTAAACTGACTGGTCTAGAAGGCATGATGTTGCTGAACAACAAAAATATCAGAAAAGCAATTACTGAAAAACAGATATTAATTTGAAATTGTTTCTTTTGGGAAACTACTGAACTCACTGAACTCAAACCACACATCTCTTAGTGCTCACTTTGTACTTAACTGGAAAAGAAGTCCTACTAAAGAAATTATGATCAAACGAAAGATGGAAATGTACAGGCAAAATACCCAAGCAACCTAGCTCTGCTTATGAACTGTTTCACACTATAAATACATGCTAGTGAAAAATGTCCCCAAAGAGGCAAAGAACGTTTTTGAACAAGTTCAGAGTAGAGATTGCTTACAGTTACTTTTACCTATGAACAGAAAAATATCTACAGAATTTGCTAAGTAAAAGTGGTAACATCTAATTAAAAACACAGAAGCAGAAAACTCTGTAACAAAGGCTGGAGAAAGAGAGATACATCATATTCCAAACATTTAATAACTTATTGTCTAAACATATATATACAAGTCACTATACCTCAGGTTTCAGATCTCTGTGGACTACTCCTACATCATGCATATGGCTCACTGCCGAAACAAGTCTGCGCATAATGTGACTGGCTTCAGTCTCACTGAAATGTTTCTTTTTCTGAATACGTTCAAGCAATTCTCCTCCCTTCAGCAATTCCATGACTAGGAACGTGTGAAGCTGAAACAATAAAATAGCATGTCAGAAATTTAACATTACAAACCAACATTCACTCAGGAGTTAGGTGCTATTCTGACAGGTTCTCAATGCTTGAAGAAATAGCACTGCTGCTTGTAGTAATTTGGAAGACCAAAAAAAAGCACCAAATCTCAGATGGCATTTTTCCCATCAGTCTTGTTGAGACTGAAGAATAACATCTTCCTCATGTGCCCCCATATTTATTAACCAAAATGCAATGCCACCACCTAAATGTATAAATTTGTAGGAAGATGAAAAGGCTTTACTTAGGTTAAAAATTAAAGCTGGAAAAAGCGAAACTTTTGCTGCTTAAGCCTGCTCTGATATAAGGATATGTATCTATTAATATGCATAAGGACTTAACACTTAAATGTTACAAAATCCTTTAAAAGCACCCTGAAACTTAACCTCTGAAATTAAAAATTATCTAGAACTTGTGATTTTATTCCCTACAGAGTAGTAGCCAAAACTACTCCATCATTACAATTACAATATATGTATTCCCAAAAATTAAAGAGCATTTTTTAAAATTAAAACAGCAATGAGTTTTCAGAGGATTGCTCTCTTCAAGGCAATAAATAAAAAGCGGCTTAGACAGCATTGGCACACGGTCAACTGCAATTTGAATGTCTTGCCATTAAACAAACAGTAGACTTCTCAGAACAAGGAAGTAAATTCAGCATTCTCAAAAGGCAATGGACGTAGGCATGCCATGGCTTCTAGCCCTTCCCTTCCCTGAATGACAGAAACAAAAGGAGTATTTGCAAGCAGAGCAAAAAAGTTCTGGGAAGTGGCCAAAAAATGAACTTCAAAGCAATATTCAGAAGATGCACACTTTATATACCCATGAACAGAAGCAGAGCTATGTGGACAGAAAACAGTAACACTTCTTAGAACAACCAAGGTGTCTAGTAGTGTTTGAATGGTATCCTCTCCTGCTAATTTTCTTTATGCCTTGGGAATATCTGACAGGGTAGTTAAAAAGGGTAAAAAGATTTTTTTCCCTAGAAAACTTCTGACTCACCAAGAGACTGCAATGCAATATTGTATGGCTGGAATACTAATGTGGAATTTGAACAGACTGATATCAGAGCAAGTTAAAAACTGGAACTTCTTTTTATTAAGACAAACTGCAGAACGTTCAAAACTAGGAAATTCCCATCAGTTTCGGTCTTCAGAGTATTGTGTGCACGTAATCTGAAAGGTAACACCTGAGAGCTACCAGAAGTAGCTAAAAATACAGTGGGCTGATTGGCTGAGAGCAGCCTATTCAGTGGCACACCGGTCTGGAGAACCATTTTTTTAGATTTAGCATATTCATTTTACTCAAAGGAAAAAGAAATGTCCTGTTCCACACATGTGCATATATGTAAAAAAAGGGTTTTCTTGTCATTAAAAATTACAGTTCAGACACTGTATCCTCTCAGTGAAATTTGCTCTACATGAGCTCTCTGCTGGTCCCAGCACAAACAGCATGAGGGGGACAGACTGGGATATGTGCAGAGGTAAGAGACCCCTTGTTCCATTACAACATCTATAGACCAACACAGAACAACAAAGTAGTCTAGGCTGGAAGGCAGCTGTACAGGACATCCGGCCTAGCTCAAACCAGGGCCAACTTCCAATTCAGATCAAATTATTGTTCATTCCATGCTGTGGAGTCTGTATTACATTAAAGGAAAAAGACAGTTAAGGTATCTGAGCAAACTGATCTTAATAGATTTTCAAACAGACGCTCTACTTTCATGTTTGGTAAGCTATTTGGTTATCTCCATTAAGTTACTAATGTGTAGGAAAAGATACTAGTTATATAATCTTCATGTGCAACATTTCTAAATTAATTCACAAATATGTTTTAAGATCTATAATTATTCTGGGGGAAAGGTGATAACACAATTCAGTATCATAGATACTGAAATTGGGCCATGAACACATTGTATGATGGTAAACAAAGACAAAACAGAACAATGAACAGAATTCAAGCCTTAAATTTTTTTGCATACTGTTTTGATTTGCTAGAGTAACTGCAAGATTGCTAGAATGCACAATTTCTGCTTCATTTTCTACACTGACTAGACAAACGCCCTAGGAAAAAAATTGCCTCCACAGTTACAGAATGCTTAAGTCCAAAAAGTTCTTGGGAAAACACATGGCAATATGTTTGGTAGGTGCTGATTACAGTTTCTTCAAATACCTGGTCATGAAAAACTTCATGTAACTTCACTACATTTGGATGTCCTTCGCAGAGTCTCAGAGCTGTTATTTCTCTCTGGGTGTTGGCTTCCATTCTGGAAAAATTGAGCAGTCATTTTGTACCAATTTTACTGAGCAAATTGCACATTCCAAGTGTTATTTATTAACTGTTTGCAATCCATATTTTTTTACTATTACAACCACATGAACACAATTAAATGTATATTAAAATTAAGTGGAGAAAAACTCTCCTCATAACCCTGCAATTTAGTCCATTAAAAAACCCACACCCAATTCAAACAATGTTTTTAATGCAACTGCAACTTCCTAGAGCAAAAGCTGACGTGATACAGAATAGTTTCAACTTAAAACAAATCATGCCCTTAGTCCAGAGCAATTTGACTACACCTCTGTAACTACCAATATTTGTTAGTTCACCTCTATCTTCACCCAATCTTTTTCCATTCTTAATGGGGGCAAATATGTCCAAAATGATATGGAAACTATGAACCCTACTAGAAAAAGAGTAACATCATCTCTATATGAAATGTGTTATACAGATGAATCCCTAAACAGAGCATTGTAAAAATCTGAAATGGAAGAGATAAGATACTATTTCCAGAGAAAAAAATCACTGCATAAATTCTATCTCAAGTACTCAAATCTATAGTAATAAAAAGTGAAAATGGTGAGTGTTATAAAAACTACATGAATGGTGACAGAGCAGAACATTTTTTTTCCCACTAGTTAGATATACTGATTTACTTGTGGCAAATAATGCCTGAAAATTTCTGCCAAAACTCTCTCTGAGAAAGGCTAACCCTGTACTGATTTAGAGAATGGCTTTACAGGCAACAGATACAATCGCTCACCACACATTTTCTTAATTTTTGCTTGCTTTTTTTTTCTTAATTAGGATGAGAACCACAATGAGAATTCTGTGCAAGAGAATTCGGTCTTTCTGTAGGCTTCATAAAATCAACAAGTAAACTAAGCTGCTCTATCTGCATCTCTGCTGCTGCAATTTTTAAACTGACAGTGACTTCTGGTCCTTAAGGAATTAAAAAACCTGACTTACAGACTCTTTCCCCCTAAACTACTATCAGAAGGAAGCAGACCATGGAAACAGATGAAAAATGTTCAGTATCATGAGCACGAATCTTTGAAATTTTTATGGGGGCTTTTCTGAATATTTCCCATCAGTAAATAGTTACCATCTCAGATTTTAAGCAACCTTGAGAGAAACAAATGTGCTAAACAGTAACTCAAACAGGTTTACATTGTTTCAGTGGTTATCAGACATACAGAATAACCTAAAAATGTTGGCTGGGGGCAGGTCCAGCATTACTAAAAAAGCAATACCACGGAGGAACTTTCACCTCATGTATCACAAAAAGGTTTCCCTAGATGCAAGATTCCCTTTTTGGGCACATTTGCCTGGTAGCAGTGAAAGACTGACTTTGAGACAAAGAAGTTACTAGAAACTTATACTTTTCCTTTTAGCAAGATTTAGTGGTGTGATCCTCAGAGCAATATTACTTACAGATTCTAATTCAAGTTGGGTTTTGGCCAACTGCTCAGAGTGTGGGTTTACTGCTAACTCTAAATACTGTACAAACATGCTGAGTCTGCTCACACTCTGCAATCCTAAAAAAAAATTCAAAAATCTCTGTGTACAGATCACTTCTTACCTTCATTTAGCCTGAGCCACCAAGATGAAGGAGAAAGAGCAAAAGAACCCAAGAGTAATATAATTCAGGGACAATTTCTAGAAGTTAAGTTCTAGGGGAAAAAGTCAATACTGGTCTGCTCACTTATCCAGAAACGAAATGCACATTATGTTAAGATGAGGTGGGAGCACTAACCTACAGCTCTGCTGGTACCACAGAAAAAACTTCTGGGTTTTTGAAAGAGAAATGAAAGAGATCTCCACATTAAAAGACCCAATGTAGGTGTCTGTCACACACCACTTAAGGTCTCATTATAATGAGTGAAATTCCATGAATCTATCTTATAGGGTGAAGTAGCTCACTGTAACATACATACCTAGAGTAGGATTCAGTGGCCTAAGCATAGGAAGGAAGAGCCTGGAAGATGACATCAGCCATGAAGACATCTACAAAAAGGTAGCAGTCACAAGACTGATGGGAATCAGAGGACAGAGAAGACACCAACAGATGCTAAAATGGCCCTACGTAGATGTCTATGTTTAAGTTACTGAATCCCACTTCTAGTGCAAGACAGTTTTAGGCAGGCTTCCATTAATTTAGCAGACCTCAGAAAACTAACTCAGACACCTACACTTCAGCTTCTTGTTCTTGAGCCTGTCCTATTCAAAAAGCACATGACGAAATGACAGACACTTAGGTCTGGCAGACAGCTTCTTCTAGAATCTGGAAAAACAGAGGTACAGCCAAATGTCTTGGGCAAGAGATAACTGAACTATCATTCTGACAGCAGAACATTTCTACTCTCCTGCCAGCATTCTGCAACACACTAGGGGTGTAATGAACTCTGTAAAATGAAGGCAAAAATCCATCTGCTACTCAAAGAATCCCTTATCTTTACTCTTCCCTGAGCAGAAACTCACAGAGAAATCCATTCTGGAAGAGAACCAGATGGTACCCGTGTAGAAAGCAAGTCAGTTGCTTCCATTGTGGTGTTCTCTTCAGAACGTCCAGGAAGCAAGATACAACTTACAATTCCATAGTCTAATTCCATTTTATACACACACATACAGTTAGATCTGAGGCAACCCACACTGCAGACCATTCCTAAAAGCAGTATCCTAGGCAATCAATAGGGCTGCTTAAGAAAGGGAGCTAGCTTAAGCTTACATTCAGTTCACCAAAGTGTCAAGATGAAAGAACCTTATACCTTTACTTTGTTAGGAAAAAAACTAGGGGAAATAATGGTAAAATACAACTAGGAACCAAAAAGTACTCTTTAGGTTTCTCCTTGTGTCCCAACTAGAATAAAATTTTATTTCAAAAGACTCTCAGAATCTTTTAATGGTCATAAGGTTACAATAAGTTTATGTAGACTCATACAACAAGAAATAATTTTAAAGCTATTTTTCCACTTTCATAAATGTAGTGAACATTATTCTACTCCATGGGTGACAGTAAGCAAAGAAAATATTTTTATTGTCTTATAGAATATTTATACCTTTTGCTAATTATTTTTACTGCATACTCTTGGCTAGTTTTCTTGTGTAAGCACTTTCGACAAATGGAAAAACTTCCTTCTCCCAATGGTTTCTCTTTCAGATCCAGTTCATAATGATGATAAAATGGAGAGTCCTGTTAGGAAACTGTCTGTATTTAGTTTTGCAGAATACTTTTAGTATACACAGTCAAAGACAAAGAGTAAAATTTCATAAGAATTTTTCATCTACATTTAAAACTGTAAAAGAGCTCTCTTTTTATTAAAATATAATCTTAAATTTTACTGAATAAAATGCATAAACATTATTCTAGCAATCAAAGAGTAAAGCTTACATTACATTAAACAAACAATCACTAAATAAATCATTACTACTACAACAATTGAAGATACAAAATATTCAGACAAACAGGATCAAAGATGGTCATACATACATTTATCCACAAAACTATGTGCTCATTTGAGGACATCACAATAGCATGTGTTCTTATAAGGCTTCACACAACTATATGCTCTTTTGGGTAAATACAACATAGATGAAATTATTATATAATAAAGTAGCTTCAGAAATATCTACAGTGTTTGGCTGAATAAGAACTATCAGGAGTCTCATTATTAGAATTATTGCTACTATACTTCAGTCTTCTGGAAAACTAGACAATCATCTCATTTTTCAGATTAAACTTCAACCATTTCTTAATAGTATCACATGCAAGATGTGATGGATCATCAGATGCTTGAATCATCTGAGGAGCCATTACAGAGAATTGATAAATGAATGATAACTATTTTGTAATCCATAGCCTAGCTTATGATTGCTGCTTGGGAAGTTATACACAGTTTTAATTTAGCCAAATTAATTTAAGGCTTGATATTATTATTACCTTCAACATAGCACTTCTGGCAATAGTTGTCGTTCCAGGTCGCTCATCCCCCACATAAAACTGGAAAGGATCTACTGTAGCTGCATTACGTTTAAACAAAATGGAAGGTGCAACGAAAGAATAACCCTACAAAATTAAAACATCAGAAAAGTTTGATACTGTTGTACATAGACTACCATAATACATATGAAACAACAGAAGTTTCAGAAGAATTTTTCAATAAATCAGAATTTTTGTACCATAATAGAGAAATTGTAACTTGCTCTGTTCAATATGAATAGGTATCTCCTGGAATTAGTTATATGATCCTCCACAGTTAGAGACAAAGCAATAATACTACAAGAATTCTAATAAATGCTAATCTGGCTCAGCTACAATTGCTTTACAATAGTGATAAAGGCTTGTACTTCAAACTAGCCAGCTTCCCAGGACACCTTAAAGTTAAGGCATGAAATAGTTTGTATGTTGTGATGTAAGCATCAAACAATTTTAAATGGATAAACTTGATATCAATGTGTGTGGGCAACGATGTGTCCAGTTTGAGTATCATAACAGCTGTGACTACTGCTGCAGGCTGAATCAGATGTTATTAAGACACGCATAACCTGCTTGCTACAGTCACTGTGAATCTAACAAGTTCCAAAATATGACACTACATTCCTCTACCCTGAGGATTAAGCTGCTCAAAAACAGACAATAAAAAACAACAAAGCACAACAATGGAGGAAGAGAAAGCAATCCAAACTGCTGTTCACCTCTGCAGTTTTGGTACCAAGTTGGTTGCACATGAGCTGGTTTTGCCCATTTGACATCCAGACTCTGCAGTCTAAGAAGGGATTGTTTTTTAATAGCATGGAAGGAACAGTAAGGAAAGCTTTGTTACTCATCTGGAAACATCAGCTGAGTAACTAGAATGCTCCTACAAAAGGGGGAGTTTCAGCTCCCACTTTCCAAAGCATTACTTCAACTAGCACATAATGTGGAAATGGGTGAACTAAATTGCTCTTGTTGAAGCTGGCAGCCCAGGCTGATGGAGTCAAGATGACAAGACTCATAAGGTACAAAAAAAAAAAATCAATAAAGAACAGACTGACTTTAGTCCAACCAGTAGGACATTCAGCTGGGAATGGAGAAACAAGGAAGTTCATATTTGCAGTAGGACTGTTTCCACCTTTCTCATTTTGCAATTATTGAACAAAAAGCCCCAGGAACTGGGACTAGAAGATACACATTTAATTCCAAAAACTTAATAGGCAGGAGGTGAAAAAAAAAAGTTATCTATATATTAGGAACTGTTCAAAAATAATTTCTTTAAAAAATTAATTTGAGTTGTTAAAATACCTGAAATATTCTTTCGGAAGTCTGAGGGGTTGCTGCAGGAGAGTATGTTGGATCCATTTCTGTAAACTCTTCTGCAAAATTACTGACATCCAATTCATCTCTGATTACTGGTTTAAATGGAGCTGGTATTTTTTTGGCAGCTAAGTCCTCCCAATTCATATTCTAAACAAAAAATAGGAAAATAAATTGAATTAAATGAAAATTTTACAGAAAGATATGGGAAAGCGAGTCTTGTCCTGACACAGTCCTAACTCCCTTTGCCATTTTCCACAGGCAGATGAAAAATAATCAAATTATGCTCTACTAATTTCCTTAGTTAAAGCCAAGCAGTATCATACTTATTTGTATGTAGACAGAATCCAAAAAGAAATATAACATAATTTAACAGTGGAGATGTGCCAAACAATTAACTTGATGGTCCTTTAATTTCTTCCTCTATTTCAAAATAAGCAATATTTATATTTTTGTAATACATGCATGCACTGTGGCTTATCTTCAACTTTTCATTGCTAATTTCTATGCTTAATTACTGACGTCAGCTTTCAGAGCCCTGAGAGCATAAACCTCCAAATTCTTACTTGCAGGCATGACTAGAAAGAGGAAGCATAGAAATAGCAGATATGAGAAAACTGCCCTGTTACTGTAAAGGAGTGGAACTGAAATTAAGTGAAGAATAGAAAGTGTTATATGATGGCAAAATGCACCTCCCAAAACAAACAGTGAATTAAGGAAGCTTAACTCTGTTTAACTCTATTTAACTTCAGAAGCACCATAAATACATAATTTGTTTTTTCAAAGAAAGCACACAATTTTAACCACAGTGGACAGAACACTACAGATATTGTATGCAAATCTAATCTTCATCATCGTTTGAAAGCAAATGTTAATACACTGAAATCTGAACAAAATTAAAATTTACTGAACAAGACTAAAGATTTAATGAGGCCAAGGAAAATAAAGGAGTTTGGTGAATTTTATCAATATTCAAATTTTACTAATAATGCTAGTGGCAATCTTTAAAAAATCATTTCAAACAAAAACCCAACAGACAATACAACACAATTTCAGTGTTTTACATTTAACCTTCTGATTTAAGCATTGTGTCTTTTGGCTTCAAGTAATTGATAGATACAGACTGAAGATATTAAAAACCTAGCATGCCCTTCTAATACACACAAAACCCAAACAATACAAATACATGGATATTTTCACTAACTTCAATGCAATTATTCATGCAAGTAACAGGACTCTAAGTTAAGAAAACAACAGAATTTCCTTAAACTTTGATTTCACAGGCACTAATGCAGAATAAGTGGGATCTGGTGAGTTTTGTTGTTTGCTTTACCTGGAAAAAGGGATGCTGTTTGATTTCATCAGCATCAGTGGGACCACAACCTAGCCTCTTCTTAGGGTCTTTCATTAGAAGACGCTGAATTATATCCTTAGACAGAGCACTCATTTCTTGTGGATAAGGTGGCTCACTTTTTAATATTCTCCTTTAAAACAAACAAAATAACAATGTGGAAGTTACTTAAAATGTTGAGATTTAAAGAGTTACCATGCTAATGGAAGCATTAACATTTCATTTAAACTTCTATTGTACCCAAAAGCAGGAGGAAGACAAATATGAAACCAACCTTTTTTAAATAAAGGAAGGTTTAAGGAATTGCGGACATGAAACAGAACATGTGAAGAGATAAATTATATACCTCAATCCACAAAAGGAGCACAATCCTCGTTTCACATACTGAGTTTACTCTTTAAAAGAAATCTCATAGTTGAAACAGATAGCTCCACAAAGAAACCAACTTGATGCCTAAGAGCAGTCAAACCAAAAATAATTCCGACATTAAAATGTATTAGAAAATAAAAGGAAAAAAACCCCTTATATTTGGGGCACTGGAGGATTGCCTTCACCCTCTGTGTTGTGTTCAGTGCTCATGCCAGTGTCTCAAATAAAGGCACTATAACTGGAAAAGTTTTAGAGAACAGTACTAAGACTAATCAGACACAGAATGTGTTTGATAGAAAGTTTTATAAAAAGGCTAGGACTATCCAGCTTACTGAAAAGATGACTCAAGAGAGCTGGGCAGTGTTTCCCTCAAAACAGTAAAGAGAAAGTAAACACAGACCTCACCACTTTTTCAATATAAGAACTAGAAACCATCATGTTGTGCCAGTGGAAGTCAAAACCTTGGAAGCCTAAGTAGAATCACATTTCAATACCTATCTTTTATATCTGCAGTTCCCATAGCTCTATGTAAACAAGTAGGCAAGTTTTCCTTCAGTTACTCTAAATCTAAATACTGAAACTAAGGACTCTAAAGGAAAGTAACACATCCAAAGACACATGAACAGGTTTAAAACAGAGACACAATAAACCTGCCAGCATACAGAATCACAGAAGAGTTGTGGTTGGCATGGATCTCTGGAGGCCATCTGGTCCAACTCCCCCTGCTCAAACAGTTACCTAAAGCCAGTTGCTCACCACCATGTTCAGAAACCCTTTGAATACCCCCAAGGAGAGAGACTTCACCATCTCCTTTGGGAAGCCTGTGTCAGTACTCAGTCACACTTGCAGTAAAAAGATATTTCCTAGTGCTTGGAGGGAACCTCCTGTTTCAATTTGTGGCCCGTATCTCTGGTCCTGTTACCAAACACCACTGAAAGAGCCCGGTTCCTCCTTCTTTGCGCACTCTCTTCAGGCATTTATGCACATTGATGAGGTGTTCCTAAGCCTTTCCTTCTCCAGGTGCAAGAGTGACAGCCTTCTCAGCCTATCCTCATATTGTCATCAGCCCTTTGCTGGACTCTCTCCAATATACCATTTTCTGGCACTGGAGAGACCAGAAGTGGAACCAGTACTCCAGATGTGGCCTCTTTGGCAGTGCTGAGTAAAGAGGAAGAATCATATCCCTAACCTGATGATAATTTGTGTAATGCAGCCCAGGATACTATTTGCTGCCTTTGCCACAAGGCCACATTGCTGGCTCATGTACAGCTTGGTATCTACACAGCCTGATGCATACTCTCACTGTGGTGACTTCACAGTAGGGCTTACAGTGCCTCCACTAAACACAAACTGAAAGATTTGAAGCCATGAGAGACTGAGGCTGAAATGACATGAATTTGTGGCAATACTAAGATCTCAACTATTATATGTTTCTGCCAGAGCTTAAGTTGATCGCTGCAGGACATTCCTAAATTTTGTTCAGAGTTACTGCATGACACATCCTTAGAGTCAGTTATCCCATGAGAAAATTTTTATCTTGAAATCTCTAGCTTCTTGGATTAGTCCAAAAATAGATGCAAACAGATTGCTTCCTAAATAATCCTGTTCTGGCAGTGTGGAAGAACAAAACCAAGTTCAAAATGTGCACATCCCAGGGGTAGCTTCTACAGACATAGTATCCAATTTCAAGCAAACCAAAAGACAAAGCAAGCTAACCTCTTGGTTTAAGTAATGCTGAAAGGAGTTAGGAAAACACAGTCTGAGTTTTAAGATGGTGTAGAGTCCAGGATTATTTTTTTAATGATATATATCTGCCAGTAAGGCTATGATTTAGACCCTTTCTACCAGCAGAAGTAACAGCAACCATAAGAATTCTCTTCACCTTCTGGACACATTTCACATTACAGAACAGGAGAAGAAAGCACAATATTATCAAGTGATCTTTTAATTAAGTATGTTAATACCAAATTTAAACACCACTAAACAAGAGTATTCTTACACTGCAGGAGTGGTGGAGAAGAAAAGATTCAGTCTCTTCTGAAATGACCCAGTTTTAGAAAGGGGAAGCAGGTAACTCGTAAAGACAGAAGACAGGACACCTTGATAGAAAAATTACTTTATTTACGGGAGGGACAATGAAATCTACAATGTTTTCATAGCTTGAAAATCACTGCAGTTAGGTAAGTCTGAAGAAGCCTCTTTATCAACCTTTCTGATAAAAGAATCAGAAAGGTATGTAACAAAGATTTTGGAAAACAACAAGTTCTCTTTGGGCTCTCAGAAGAGAGGAAAACCCCTCCAATCAGTATTTTTTCAAAGTGATTTCTAAAGCAATGAGATTGAAACTCTGGGATGTCCTTAGTAATCAAAAGGGAAATTCTAGAGCAAGCTCTCTTCCACACACTCTAGGAACCTCCTAAACTGTTTCTTCTCTGCTGTACTGTATTTCCAGCAGATGTACAGTAAGATTTATATTGAGAAATATCTTCTATCTCTTGACCATCCTAGAACCCACTGCAGAAATGGCAGCATTTTGCCATGTTCCATTACAAGGAGATTCACATAAGTTGCCAGTGGCTTTAATTCAAAAATACTTCTGAGGTTGACTGATACTGGAAAACACTGATGATGCTCTGGATTGGTTCACAGAACCGTATTACAGAGGTAATGAAGACCAAAGCAACCTTCTTTAGAAGTTCCAGGAACCACATAAAATTATCTTGGAATTGAAGTATGTGAAGCTGCAATCACATTAATTAGGATGGAAATCAAGCTGTCAGAAAAGAAAGACCAGATTGGATCAACATGTGAGAGAGCAGAAATTTGTGAAGCAGCTTGATCAAGTGAAGAGAGTCTGGTTTCACTAGTTCAGCATTACTGAAGCGCTGTACTGAAGGTTACTCAAGGCTCTAACAGTAGCCCATACAGTGTTCAGAGGAAGGAAGCTTCATGTATCAAAATCCTTTTTGGGATGTGTGTGCTCCTGTAAAGAAGCTATGGTCTTTAGCATTAATAACCCTTTCCTTTTCTCAATCACCATCATCCTTAATACTCTTCATGTTTATGGGGCTGTCCACATTGGTTATGGCAGTGATCCAGTAACAGTGACAGACAAAAGCAGGAAGAATTAAGTATCCCAAGTGGCAATTGGGAAAACTGAAGGAATACTCTGCTGTATTTATTGCTTTTCCTGGCCTGCAATCTGAGATTACCCTGCTAATGAGAGAACTCTGGCTGTACTGAACACTCAGACAAACCACACCTTGCACATGTCAAAAAGTTTAACACTTTGCATGAATCATTTCCATCTTATCCTTCTCTATGGCAGACTGTGCAGAACTAGGAGCAGCCCCACTGGTATTGTTTTTCAGGAACATGGGCTCTGATGACTTTTCCCCACAAAAACTACAGACCAAGAATACATATGATAATGCAAAGGACACACGAATGGATGATAAGGAAGAAAAGGGGATGCCCAACCTAATTCTACAGTGCCTTGAGAATTGTGTGTCTTATGATGACAGTCGATTTCCTGACCCTCTGCTTTATGCCCAAAAATGGGTGCTGTATCTTTAAAGTAGGGGTCAGGGTGGGGGGTTGAACCTTAGGCTCCTTGGCAGATTTTTTTCAAAGCCTCACTCCCCAGGTGACCAGGGTGCCAAGGGGGTGTGGTTTTTTGGTTGGCTAGCTTGATTTTTTTGTTAGCCCAAGCAGGAAGTTTTTTTTCCTTTTCTTGGCCTTGCAGGAGCTGCAGCAGCAATCCTTTGGCAACTTTTCCGAGGTAAACTGGACAGTTTGTTTAATTCTGAGACAAGAGAAAAAGGGACCTGTGAGACAGGAGTTGGTCAGGACCAGCAGGAGTAGAGGGGCTGCATTGCCTTGGCCCCATGCCTCAGAAAAGCTGAGCTGGTGAGAGAAAGCACACCAGCCCCACCTGCTTCATCTGCTGTGAACAAGGGACCAACAGCACAGAGTCAGGTTCTCACCTATTTGCCCAAAATGCTGTTTGAATCTCCTTTCAGTTTTCTGGGGTTTTTCCCCTGAGAGAGGAGCCACTATCTTCTACCTACCATGTGGTGAGCTGGTGGGTTTTTGGTTTTGTTTTTTCTTTGCTTTCCCTGGCATTCTGGGTTTTTGCTCCATTGCATGGGGGAGAGGGGATAAGGCCTGACAGTTTAATCTCTAGCATTTATTTACCTTTTTCCTGTGCCTTGTGGGCATTCTGTTTGTCAATTAACCATTGGAAAAGGCTTTTTTGCTTTTATCCACCAGTAATCTTTTCCTACTGGTGGAAGGGGATTGTTGAAACTCTTTTTAGGGGATGCTACTCATTCCAAAGTATTTTCTCCTAAACTTGTCTCTAAACTGAGACATTGTGTTATAAGCACCATCAAAAACATACATATACATCTGGATGTACAGGGAATAAGAGAAAGCAACTCCAAGCTGTAACCCTGTTAAAGGGCAAATGTACAAGACTTCCAAAGCAGAGTTTTTACCCTCATACTTGAGAATGACCCTGTCACCTCTTGTTCTGAGCTGAACTCTCTTATTCTTTTGTTCCATCTTGGAGCAGTCAGGTACATATGCACACCCCTGGTTCTACACAGGTCAGAAACTGTGCTACAATACCTAAAACTTGCCTTAAACCATCTGCTTTAATGAATGGCTGAACAGATCTATAGGTAGACTCACTCACGCACTCTGATGTGCATCTAAACATAAAAATGCTGTATATTATAGATAGGCAGCTAAAAGCCCTAGGACAAAATACCTAGAAGAAATCATGCAAATTAGAAGTTGGATTTAATGACTGTTCCATCCTTTAAAAGATCTAGCAATCACTAGAGTAAGTCACTGATTTAAGAAGGAAATCAATAAAGAAGGGCATCCCAGTACACAGCTGTTATGCATCTTCCCAACAGCTCTGTGAAGAAAAGGTTTCTTGCAGGATCATAGATGAAGTATCTCCACAGCATCTAACAGACTGTCAGATTTCAGCTGTCCTCCATGAAGTTTAAATAAAGTCTAACCAATTATGTCAAATAAAGACCACTGGCTGCTACCAGAGTTAGTATGCTAATATGGCATCATATGCTTCTATAGATTATTTTATAGATGCATATATGCATTTTTTTAAAAGTTTCTATCTATTCATAACCCTAAAGCTGGTAAGACTTTTTAAACTGCTGCACAGTTGCAAACTAGTACTCAAAAACCTTCCTGCTCATTTTATATCCTATACATGACAGGGCCCTCAAAAGTCAGACCCCTAAAATGGATTTGTCAGTCTTTCAATTCAGCACTACAAATTACTCGTAGTCAAAGTGAAAATACTGGCTATGCAGTCGGTCCCAGCCTTGCCTATGCTTTTGCAGGATGGCTCTTATCCCTGGTTCTGCAGCAATAAAAGATCAGAATTCTCAAAAATGAAAGGAAAATCTGGAAACAAGGGAAAAGAAAGGGGAGAGGGCACACTAGAAAACGAGAGATATTGGAGTAGTTATGCGACTTTTTTTTATTTAATTGAGTTTAATAACCCATACACAAAGCATGTGAACGAGCTTTCAGAGACAGTGATAAAAGGCAACATTTGCACTTACTTAACTTGCATTTTCCATGAAAGAGGTCTACAGTGTTGCCAAAAAGATTATGATAGAAGAACAACATCACTTCTCACCAGAAAGAGAAAAAAAAATAGAAACTACACACTGTTTCCAACACAAGAATAGACCTCTCCCTTGGAGAGATATTTTAGAACAAAGTTTCATTCTCAAATTTAACACCAGACAACCATTATGCCACACAAGGGAGTAAAATTATCTAAAAATATCTAAGATTACTTCCTACCTAGGTAAAATAAAAGAAGGACCTGGATCCATTTAAAAGATGACTTTTTTTTCCCCTAAACTCAGAAAAATAAAACCCTGCCTTCAACAGCTTGTGAGCAAGTGAAAAAACTGCATTCTCTAAGTCTGCTGCAATTGGCAAGTTTAAGCACATTAAGTTAACCCATGTAATTTCTGGTTAGAACAACCTTGCTATTAAGAAAGAAGTTTGTACCAACTCATATCTCTGTGCCAGTAATTTCATTATCAGGGCAACTGTCACTCTTTTGTTTCTGTTTGCCTGCTCTATGCTACCCTCAGGAAAAGCTCCTGTTCTCCCAAAGGCAGCAGTCACCATTCCCCAGAAGGTTCCACACGACTCGGCGCAGCAGCCAGGGCAGCAGCAATGCTCTCCTATGTTCTTAAAAGGATCCTAACATTCATGACATAATCTTCAGACACATAACACTGAAACGATCCAACAAAGAAATTGCTATCTGTGGGAAGGATTTAGAAACCACTGGGTCTTATGAGTATAGGAGTAACACAAGAGAGATGAAATCTAATCTGAAATGCAATCATATAACTGGGAGTAAGAAGATTTCAGCTATATATAGCTGGGAGGAAGAACTACAAACCAGAGAGTCATCAGTTGAAAGTAACAGAAGAAGGAAAGGAATCAGATCTATCAGACCAGCACTGGCATCAACAAGAGGAATCCAAGAAAAAGGAAGAAGTATTTTTTTGTTCAGATGGTAAATTATTCCTTCCATTAACCAAGATCTTCTTGAAACATTAACAAGAATAAATTGTCCATATGTAAGAAAGAACAACAGAAGCTAAGTTAAGAAAAGGCTTTTTCAGGAAACAGGAAGACTGGGGAACATCTTCAATATAGGAAACTGTAAGAATTTAACTTCTAAATTTATCAAAATAAAAACTGAAATACCATAGGACTGCTGTCTATAAAATGCACAGCATTAACATCCACCACAATATAAACAGACTGAACAGCAACACAGTAAACTTGCCACAACTAAAGAAAGTTATTGGCTGTCAGAGCACAAATGTTAACAACCTTGTTGTTCAAATTATCAGAAATATTATCTTAAAAAAGCACCGAAGGGCCTACCAAAAGAATGTCAAGTCCTGTGGAATACAGAACTAAAAAGTTTCCCATTTTTTGGGAAACAAGATCTGTAAAGTTCAGTTCAAAGTTCTTTCTAAAAAAAAATAAAATAATAATTGTTACTCCTTCAGAGTCCCATCTAGTAAATCTCGGGAATCAAAATTACCAAATTCAGCCATGGCATAAGTAACCAGTCAACCAAACCTCTAACCTTAAATAGGGCAGAAAGAAATAACTGAATTTTCTAACTGCAATATTACAACCAAGCAGGTGAAGTCCTGATTTTTCTTTCATTAACAGACTCTCTCTCTCGTATGTTTTCCTGTTTGCTGTGGTAGAGAAGTAAAAACCAATAAACAGGCGTTAATATCCCAAGAAATTGCCTGAACTTATAAGTAAAATAAATTCTCTAAACAACAGTATATTCCACCATCCATTACAACCTTAAATATCAAGTGATTTCAGGTGAGGGTCAGAACCAAGACAATACCTTCCAACAGAAGCAAGACTATTCTTAGTTTGGGGACTGGACTTACAAGCTCATTTTGACACCAGTTAGTAATTTGAGCAATATAAGACCTCAACTTCCTGCTCCGAAAGAAATCCAGTAAAAGGAAATTTTTGTTTTGGGGGAGATTTCAGTAATGTGTTTTGGAGAAGCTTATTGCTTTGTCTTTTAAAAATGCTCCAGTGCTTTTACACAGGTACTGAAAACAAACCTTTAAAGTGTGGAGATTACTGAATGTAACAAAAAGTTTATATGTAAAAGATAAGAATGGGATAGTTTATTTCATTTCTGTAAGTATCATATTCATTTCTTCTCAGATATGCAAATGGGCTAGACAAAATCTTTGTTTCATGCTATACACTAATAAAATAAACATTATTTGTAAGAAAAAGGTGGGAGTAGGGTACATTCTGGCACTTTAAATCTTTAGTCTGACAACAACCTAGCAAGAGCTGATAAAAAAGTATCTCTAGCTAAAGATATCTCTAATGTATTAAGATTTGGAATGTGATAATTCTATTTACATATACTTTGGTATTTCATTTGAGTTCCTTTTCAACAGTAAACATGCAACAGAGCTTAGTATCTACAAGGCTGTGGCTCCACTGTAGTTTAAACAAAACAGGCCTTTTGTGAAGTCAGTTCTACTAGCTAATAAAAGCTATCTACTATCCAATATCATTCTATTGAACAGAACTGGAGCACATAAAATGTTACCATGGCAGCACTTTCTTCCTAAATTTTAAATTAACAAACTCTCACAAAACATATTATGGCATAAGGATCATCTGTTAGCAAGCACATATACTTCACTGCTTTGAATCTTACCTAGAAATCTCTGCTTGGGAATTCTTCTCTCCGTCGACTGTAAATGGTGATGCTCCAGTTAATAATTCATACATAAGAACACCAACACTCCACCAATCAACAGCCTACAGAACAACAGTAATTATGTATGTTATGATACACTGAAGTAAAATTGTTAACAAAAGAAGGAATAGAACAATCCACATAGAAAACAACTAGCATAGGAAGAACCTACCTATATACAAATACAAAGGCAGAATGGGATACAATGAAACATAAACAACTGTGGTACTGACTGAAGGTATTTTCTGTGATAAATTAATTTTAATCTGAAATCTCTCCATTTAGCTTCTTCAACTAATTTCTAAAGTTGAACTTTTTCTACAGACTACTAAATTTCCTTTTTTCTTTCCCAACAGAATTAATTTTGATTTTTACCATTGTGATGTGGTATGAATTCTAATACACACTCAAAATAACAGAGGAACCTAAGGCTTGCTAAGAAGTAGTGGAACTTGAAGTTTTATGAGCTTGAGAACAAAATTAAGGAATGTTCAAAAAGCAGAATTTAAGATCACAGCCCGCAGTTAATCCAGGTATCTGAAAATGCTATGAAACCATAGAACAGTTTGGATTGGAAAGGACCTAAAATACCATCTTGTTCCAACCCCCTGCCATGGAGGACAAGGACACCTTTCACTAGATAAGGTTGCTCAGAGCCCCATTCCACCTGGCCTTGGACATTTCCAGGTACAGAGCATTTACAACTTCTCTGGGCAACCTGTTCCAGTACCTCATCAGCCTCACAGTAAAGAATTTCATCCTAACACCTAATCTAAATCTCTCCTCTTTTAGTTTAAAGCCATTCCCCCTTGTCCTGTCACTACATGCCCTTGTGAAAAGTCTGTCTCCATCTTCTTGTAGGCTCCCTTCAGGTACTGGAAAGTCACAGTGAGGCCTCCTCCCGGCTGAACTCCATTCTCTCAGCCTTTCCTCACAGAAGAGGTGCCCCATCCCTCTAATCACCTTGGTGCCCCCTCTCCTTCAGACTTGTTCCAACAGGTCCCTGTCCTTCCTGTGCTGGGACCCCAGAGCTGGATGCAGCACTCCAGTGGGGTCTCAACAGAGCAGAATGGAAGGGCAGAATCCCCTCCCTCACCCCACTGCCCACATTGCTTTGGATGCAGCCCAGGACACATTGGCTCTGGGCTGTGAGTGCCCATGGCTGGATCATGTCCAGCCTCTCATCCACCAGCACCCCCAAGTCCTTCTCAGCAGGGCTGCCCTGACCTGTTCATGCCCACCCTGTGTTGACACTGGGGTTTGCCCTGACCCAGGTACAGCACCTTGCACTTGGTCTTCTTAAAACTCATGAGATGAGTTTGCATGCCCAGTTCTTGAACTTACCCAGATCCCTCTGGATGGCATCCCATCCTTCAGTTTTCGGTTGTTGTTGTTAATAACACCAATACCAACAACAACAACAACTTTTTAATGTTTAAATATTTGGATCACTAGTTGTCTATTTAAGTTCTTGAAATTTTTCACTTATGTAGTATCTGCTTCTGTCAGATACTCCAAACCTGACAGATTTTCAAGGAATCTGCTTAAAAGCACAGTTCCTTCCTTTTATTAGATCTATGACATTTCCAACCTTGAACACAAATTCAGCCAGTTCATGTTTCACCTGTTAGCTGTTTCACACAGGCAAAGCTTTCAGGAAAACCAAGTCTCCAACATCCTACTGCTGCAATAGATCATGGGTAGAACAGTGTTTTGCTTGTTAAAGAACTTTAGTAAGGATCTAGCACAAGCCTTGTTATGCCCACTTTGAGTGTTTACTGCATTTGGGTTCCTGTTACTTTGCCTGCTATCCATTTTGCACGGACAGCTCCACACGGCACAAGCACTGTTCAGTTATGGCCATCCAGTGCCACGGCTGCACCTCAGGGGCCTTAGAGAGATGGACTGTGGTAACACATGGGATACTTGGCTTCCCATATACTAATCATATTATTCATACCTCCCATAACTTCCAAAATACTTTTTTCTTTCTAAAGGAAGTATGCTACTATGAATAATAAAGGAAGCAGTTTAGTCCTTTCAACAAAACTAATTACAGGTGTTTGAACTTCTCAGGTTTACAGCCATGAAATCTGAAAATCAATGAAACTTCTGCTTTACTTATGTTGGCAATATTAACACAATACAGGAAGACAACTAGTGAAATCCCAACAACTTGTCCACATATTTTACTTAGATTTGCTTCAAAATACACAGAATCTGATGTCTCATATATTCACCCAAGAGTATCTAGAAGAACTACCTGATGAAGTCTCTGTACTGTTACTAATTATCTCTGCAAATAAATAATCCTCAGAGAAAATACCAAAGAATTTCTTCTTGGCATGTGTTTTTCCAAAAGAAAAGGAGGATCTGCAGAATCAGAAATCCAACTTTAAAAAAATAAATACTAAAATACTAGAGCAAGTCCTTAAGACAAACACTGCAATCATCTAGAAGAGATTATAGATGATAAATATTGACTAATGAGAGCACAGCATACTAAAGCAATCTTGTTTTCTCTTTTTGTAAGGTCTTTGAGTTGTTAGATAGGCACTAAGTATGAAATACATTAAAAATCTTCTAAAATTACCATACATGACATTGTCAATGGTAAGGTAGTGAGCATGTGGTGTAAACAACTTACATAACATACATAACTGCAAAATCTCCCCATTGATCAACTAACAGTCCCTATCAAACTGAAAAGTTACTCCTTATAGAATACTGTATGACTCTGCATGACATCTGATGAAAATATCAGACAGAACCAAAGAGCACAGAGATTCCTCTTTAAGTTAGCGATAAGGCTGAATTTTTAAGCTCTGAGAATCCAGAATCATAATTCAAGGTGACTGAGAAATTGGAAGGATGCTCTGGAGGTGGCATGACTAAACTAAGAGAGTGCAGGAAAGAGCTTCAATTCGTACGTTTTTTAAATTCCATTTTTAATAGCAACTGGGAAAGCAGTACAGTAGAAAAAGATGAAGAGGTTATAGTGGAATTCAAGGTAGGTGTGAGACAATGACTAAGTGAAAAGAAAAAGCACACACTATTTTATGTGTAGTAGAATAATCAGGGAGGTCATTCTGCTCTACTTCAAACTGCCATAACCCAGCTATACCCACTACAGTGCTCCCTAACTGAAGGTAAACTCAGACCAAAAGAGACACAGAATGCATAGAGAAGGAAAAGAAAGAACTTTCTCAGGTAAAAGTCAGACTCTTCCAGTTCTTACACAGGCTGCTATAAAAGGAACCACAATCAACTACATTCCATGATCCACAACAAAGACAATTCAACTCAGTCTACAGCAAAAAAATTACACAGATCAAATAGTCTCCAAAACTTCCAATTATAGTGAGCAATCAGAATAAGTTACCTAGGAGTACTGCAGAATTATTTTGGAGAGTAGGGTTTTTTGCTTATTTCAAAAATCATCTGTTAATTATTGTTGTCTTGATCATTTCTATCACTGACACTTTATAGTGCAATAAAACTTGAGTCACAAGTCAAACAATTTTACAATATGAGAACGCTTATAACATTAATGACCTATCCCATACCTCAATAAAGATAACTGATTTCTAGGATGTCCAGTTTAAAATGTATATCAGAATTAGCCACAAACCATTTTCTACTCTGAGCTAGTTTTTTATGCAAAGGCAAATAAGTGCTAACTAAGTTTATTGTTCCACAACATATTTAGAACAAATTTTGAACAGAACACAAATAAGCCTCAATACCTTTATAAATATGCCTTTTACTTCAGATCAGAAGAGGAAAATACATCAATATACAACTGAAGACACAAGAAACAATGTATCTTAGGACAACCTTAAAGAACACATACTTAAATAAGATAACATGTCATATTTTAAAAAAACCCCTCAAGATGAGCAATATGTTGACTGAAGAATTAGTTTATTTTCAGTAATAAACTTAGAACATACCTTATCATGTCCTGTGTCTCCCCCTCTAACAATATCTGGAGCCATATATTCTATTGTTCCACAGAAGGAATATGCTCTCTCATTCTAGGAAAAAAAGAATTACATCAAACAATTATATTATACAAATAATACGGGACAGGTATGGCTAACAGTTCCGAGACGCTGGCAGCAATTCTTCTCCAAATAGCTCAGAACTGCTAACTAAATAATATTCCATCATACGTAGTGACATATCACATAATGCTACAGAATATTTAGTCTTCTATGAAAAAATAAAATGTCATAAGTTCGTGTTGCAGTCTAAGATAAGCACACAAAAATTAATCTACTAATATTTAGAAAAACTCTCCCATAAGCCTAAATGATCTATATATTTCAGAACTTCGCAAGATTCCCCAGTTAACACAGACATACATTTTGAAGGCTGCAATACCAATACTCTAGATAACAAATGAAACTTTTCATTAAAAAGGGAATTACTTGTAAGATGTACAATTTGACTAAATTGGATATAAGATCCTTTGAGTTCCCCATATTTAGGAATCCATTATGACCTCTAGAAAAGTTGTTTTCTTTCGCAACAAACACATATATAAGAAACAACATTATCTCAAGAAGAGACTTGGAGAGGGACAAGACAGAGAAGGGGAAAGGCAGACAGTGTTGTAAATTTAATTTTATTCTACACACTGAATTATTCTCTTGTTCAAAACTAAGCTGCTTTCACAGGCATGTATAATTGTTCCCTGGTAGCGATTTACCTTTGAGGTCAACATGAGGTCATGCTGTACCTTGCTAATGACGAAAGCACATGTGTTTGGGCCATGCAACATTGTTCCTCCCTTATCCTTCATGCTTCTAGCATTTTGGGGAGAGATCCTGATAGGTCCTTTAAAGAAGAGTGTTCAAAAAAGCAAATATTTCAAAAGTCAGGTTTTACATTTGTAGATTCAGGTTTGGAGTTTAAAACAGGTGCTATATAAGAGACTACACTAATGAGAAGAAGCTTCAAAAAGTAGAAATAGTGCTCTGTGCTACCCTAAGGCATAAAAATTAAACAGTCCAGCAGCATATTATTAAACTGTATTTCTTAAAATACATATACTGTGACTGGTTTTTTGGGGTAAAATTCTGAGTTCAGAATAGTTAAAAGGCCTGATTTTGTTTAAATGTTAACTTGAAATATTAACTTCTGAGACAAAACCATATAATAATGAGCTTTTCATGATTCCACTTTCTTTTGACACAACTATTGTTTCTCTTTGATAATCTTTTCTAGAACCTGCTATATTAAAGAAATATAGTGTGATAGAAAGTACAAACAAAGAAAAATGTCAGAAACTCCTAGCCCTCCATCAGAGAATCTAAACCTTCAATCTCTAGTCTTTTTTCCTTCAGCTGGGAGGGTAGGAGGGAGAGAGGGATGAAAAAGGGTGAAAAGGAAAAGGAAGGGGAGTGGAAAACACAGAAACTGCTCTTCACTTGCTACCTCTCCAAAGAGTAAAGATAATGCAGCCAAAGTCAGATATCAAGACAACTGTCTGAAAGCAAAGCACTCTGACTTCAGCTACAGATTGACACAGACTTGCCTTCATAAGATGCTGTAGAATGTTCTGACTTCAAAACAGCTGAAGTAATAAAATCCAGATACTTCTTTGTTAGAAACCTTTGCTTATGCTGTGGTTTATTAAGTTACAAGCTTCACCAATTACATCTAGCTGTTACTTAAAAAACACAGGTTTCAGAGTACGAAGTTTCATTAGGAATACTTAGGTAAATTTGTCACTGTTAAATATGCCTCTTCCAGCAAGTCACAAATAGTTTCTGCTGTTATGCACTACATGTGGGTTTAAAACCATTTTCAAAGAAGGTTATCTCCAATAACAGTTTTATTTTCTGTTATTTTCTGGTCTCCTGGGTACGTGAGAGACATGGATATAGTGGAGAGCGTCCAGCAAAGAACCATAAATATGATTAAGGGAACCTGTGAGAAAAGGCTGATAAGGCTGGGACTGTTTCACCTAAAGAGGTGAACCTGACAGTTCAGGGAGATCGCATCAATGTACAAAAATGCCTGAAGCAAGCATGCAAAAAAAGAGGGAGCAGGGCTCTTTTCAGCGGTGCCCAGTGACAGGATCAGAGGAGGAAACACTTTTTTACTGTGAGGGTGACTGAGCACATGCACAGGCTTGCCATCAAGGTTGTGGAGTATCCCTCCTTGGAGATATTCAAAAGGCTTCTTGTGGGCAACCAGCCCTAGGTGACTGTATTTGTACAAAGTGTTGGGCAAGATGACATTCAGCAATCCCTTCCACTCTGTGATTCTGTCACAAAATGCCAACATAAGCTGTATTTCAACATTCATTTAGAAACCCCCTTATTTTGTACCCTCTCCAAATTTACATTTCATTTAACTGTATAACATAAATCCAAACTCCAAAAGCCACATTATTAACACTTCTATGTTATGAGATGTAAGACAAGAAAGGATGTTCTTAAAAAAAAAACTGAACTTGAATTAGCTACAGGTGAATGCTCACTGAACATGCACATCTTGCAAATACTTAAGCTTAACAGTTTTTTTGTCTTTGAAACTACCTGAAAATGTAGGAAGCATTTCTCCTCAAAGACAGAGAGGTCTTATGCTTTCAGAGTTATCTAATGATCTCCTTCAACAAATAAAAAAAAGCACATTCACAGCAACAAAAAAAGCAAAAGGATCAAACTCCATTTTGCTGCAGAGACTAGTCAACATTCATCACATCTACAGGAAAGACCTGACTGATAGAGAAACAGTCACTACTGCCATAGAAGGACGTGTCTTTAGAGCATACATCCTAGCCCACAATAATACAAATTCAGTTTCATGTTTTTTACAACATATACAAGGGTAGCTCTGGCAGATATTAAGTCTTGCAACTGCTCAAAGTCGCCTTTCTTCCTTTGTTAAAGGTACTTCAAATTCCAGGCTGCATCAATTAGACCCTCTCTGGGCTCTATCAGTAGTATTTCGAATAGCACCCATTAGAAATGAAAAGAGATACCAAAATTTCTAGAATACAGAAATCAGTATCATCATTGCTCCTATTTTGTACAGGTGTGAGTGTAAGTAATCAGAATCCTGAAAGTCATAACTTACAGCTTCGCTACAAGCATAAATAGTGAAAACTTTCCCAGGACACCAATGTCAGGGCCCTGAGCTTATCAACAGGCTCCATAACCTCTTTCACTAATCTTAGGAGTTAAGGCATCTCTGCTTAAGACCAATTCTGACAAAATGCAGCTGAGTAACCTGTGCAGAAGCTTGTCGAGGGCCTCCTCCACTTTGAGCTGGGAGCTGCAGTTCAGGCTCATGCTCCTGCACCAGCTGTGCTGTAGGTATGTCTGTACTTGACTGGGTATCTCGCTGATACTGATCCATCAAATTCAAATCCTGACTTGTCCTCAAGCCTCTCTCCTCACAACAAACTTTTCTGATAACCACTGGACTGTTGCCCAAGCCTCTTTTTCTGGCACTAGAGACTCTCTGATCTTCTTGCATCACTGGTCAGTGAGAACATAGATCCATACTTGCTGCGGTCATCCTTAGCTCACACTAATGCAGGGAGCAGTCTCCCATTTCCCCATCCCCCTGCTGCTTTCAGACAAACTAGCCCAGATCCACAGTTCCTCCAGGAACAGCTTAGAGGACCGAAGAATTTAGTAGTTATAGAGTTCAGCGGTATCACACAGAATATCTCATATATTAGCTAGCAACAAACTGGCTGCAAACTACTGATAAAGTATTAGAGTTCCCTTGGTAAGCTTAAAAAGAAAACCAGGACCATAGGATCAATCAAAAGCACGCTATCGTAACTGAAAATTTACTTGTAATATGTAAAGGCCACATAGCAGAGGTTGCTCTAACAAGCTGCCCTGCTGAATAGATTTTGCATTTCAGGAAAATCACAAGTAAAGACTGAAAAGCCTAAATTCTTGGCAGAAATAGGACCTGTACATTCAGCAAGCCTTAGGGGTCATCCTATCATAGATATTTACCTCAAAAATAAAAAGGCACCAAGGAAAATACCCATTTCCATAGAAATTATACCTCTGACATCCTTTGCTGTCGTTTTAATAACCCAGAATAACATTAATTACAATCTTAATTTAGGACGACATAGGAAAATTGACAGAAAGACCTGTCACAGTTCAAAGATGTGATATAGGTTTAAAATGGGAGGAAAAAATCTTGCTTTAACAAGGTCCTTGCTATACTGACTGGTTTCTTCTTTTTATTCACTTTTTTAAAGTTTCAATTATTTTGGGAAAATTATTGGTGATAATATCCAGACTTGACACTGAATAATTAAGCTGTCCATACCAGAAAGTATAAGTTCAACCAAAAGGTCTCTCAGCTGAAGAGGTCTCTGTAGCTGTAGACTTCTATTCACAACCAAACTATGACCTTTGCAGGAGACAAATGAGGAATAACAAAGACAGGCAAAAAAAAGTTCAGTGGTACACTAGTTAGATTGCTCTGCTGCATATGACAAAATCACAATGAAGACTGTAATATAAAAAAGAAAGTTTAGACTAGAGCAAGAACAGTTGTAATAGGGCAGATCAAGGTCCCCTAGCTTGCAATGTCATCATATGAAGAATTTTTTTAAAAGGATAGGATCATGTGAAATTAACTGAATATCCTATTCTAGTGGCTCTTCCAATGTGAAGCAGCCAGCTAAATCAAAATACCATATTGGTTACTATGCCTCTTGCCATAGCTAGACTAATGATTTCTGCTTCCAAAACACACATGGAACAATGCTACTGAATTTTTCAAGCAAGAATGAGATTTGCCTGCCAGCAGATGCCATCAGAACAGGCAATTAAAGGGGACAGCAAGGGCAGCTAAACGTTGAACTGCGTTAAGCAAGAAATCTGTGACCTCTACCTCTGTGACCCCAGAACAAAGCCAGTGGAAGGCCTCGGATCTAATGTCAAGTGCAGATTCAAGAACCCTTTTCACAGACTTTTACAATACCTGCGTTTGCTTTCATGGTGCAATGGAAGCAATTGCAAATTGCAATTCTACACGCCATTAT